GGGAAAGAGCTACCAGGGTCGCTCTGATGCTGGAGGCTCTCCCTGGGTCATGGCAGGGACAGCTGTTTGGATCCTAGCCAGGTGATGCCTCCCATTCCCTGTGGAGCTGGAAAAGGAGGGAGGTGCCTTTCCCCCTTCCTCACTAGCGGAGGAGCACCTCGGGAATTGGTGGACAGGCTTTGCCACCGGCTGCCAGTAGTGCTCGTCTGTGCAGCAGAGGCTCTGCTGCAGGAAGCTGAAGCAAAGCTGAGAGCTGGAGAGCAGCTGGGGACCCACGGAAAGAGCCAGGCTCGTGGTCTCAGGGAGGCGCTGCCAGGCCAGACAAGCCAGACTGGCTCGGGCTCGCTCCAAGTGCCCAGACCTCGTGCAGTTTCCAGAGCAACAGGTACAGAGACCATTGTCCCTGCTTCTGTCTGCAGCTGCCATACTCTGGAGCCGTGGATGTGGGAAGCAATGGAGCCTGGACACAAGGTACCTCTGGCCAGGAGCTGAGTATTACAGAGGGGAGAGGGATGGTGCCTGCCCCATGGCCTGGTTCTGCAGGGTCCAGGGCTGAGCCTGCTGCGAGATGCAACGTGCACCCCTGCGGTTTGCATGGGGACGCAAGGGCTGCAGTTGCAGCTTGGGGCTTTATCAGGACAGGCACACGCAGCCTGGCTGGCAGGCAGAGATGGGAGGTGGGCATTTGCTTTGCCTGTGGTCCTGGGAGGGGATTTAAGTTGGCTTCCTGTGTGTGCAACAGCTGCCAGGGCAGGGCAGGGGCATATACCTCCTTCTCACAGAGAGGGCTGAGGAGGGCTGTCTAGAGCAACCCAGGCAGCCTCCCCTGTCATGCACCAGCCCAAAGCACCCTTTCACCCTAGAGCCTGTAGGATCCAAGTCCTGTGCATGGTTAGACACCTCCTCCCTTGGGGTTTTAACAGCAGTTGGAGAGATGCTGAGAGCATAAGGGCTGGGCTTGCTCTTCCTAGCCCAGTCCCGTGCCATTGGACATACTTGGCCACCTCAGGAGTGGGTCCAGAGACTTGGAGGGAGCCAGGAGCTGCTCTGGCCTCACGAGCCTCCTTCCCTTTGCAGGTGCCAGAGACAAGGCTCATCGTTGCTGCCTGCAATATCGTGGTGCTAATGCAGAGCCCTCAGGAGCCCTAGGGAAAGCCAGGGTGAGCATGAACCTCACAGAGAGGCTGAGGAGTGGCCTCGAGCCCCCCGAGAAGGCAACAGGGCCACCTGGGACCCCTGCCCCGGAGCCATCCCTGTGGGAGCCCCACACCATTGCAGTGGTGGCCATCTTCTGCTGCGTGTGCCTGCTGCACCTGTCAGCCTTCCTCTACACCATCTGCTTCCAGTTCCAGGGCCAGGCCTGCCCACCTGATGGCTTTGCCACCCCCAGGGCCTGCGAGGAGAATGAGCTCACCACCTTCCACCTGTCCCCGCTGTCCGGCACCCACGCGCCAGCCGGGGCTGACACCAAGGGCTCCAGGAGTGGGTCCTGCTGGAGCAGCACTTAGCTCAGTGCCCTCCAAGGTCAGATGCCAGCACAGCCCAGCTCCATGGCTGATGTGAGCCAGGAAAACAACTGATGGCGAAGCCAGGATGGTTTGCACCAGCTGGAGATAAAGCACATGTAGGCTTGCTCCATAGAGAGGATTTCCCAGAGCTGGGCCATCATGGGGCAGACCAGCAGTGTGCATGGAGGCTGGAAGCAGGAAGGGAGAAGCGTGCGGCTAAGACGCAGGGTACC